GACCTCCCACGGGCTCATGGCTCCACCAGTTCCTTATAAAAGCTGGGGCATGCAGCAAAGGAGCAAAGTGTGCCACTCTTGGCTGTTTCCCTTGCCGGCAGCGCGAGGTCTCTCATCCCAGCAGGAACAAAGCCCTGTGGTAACTGCTGCTTTCAAGGATGTTTCCTTTCTAGGGTGTTTCGTTTTGGGTGATTTCGAAGGAATCGCTCTCCCTGCCAAGGGAGGAACGGGTTTTTTGAGGCAAACCTGCAGCAATAGTGATGCATCTTCAGGAGCATCTCGCTGCTGAGCTTTTTGCTCAGTTCCAACCCCATCCCTTCCAGCCAGATCCCACTACGAACAGCCCAGCCCAGGTTCCGCGAGGGAAACCCGCATTCTCCCAAGCCCATTGAAATAGTTACCATCAAAGCTTTGCTTGGGCAAAGAGTTGGATGAAAACTTGGGTAGAAAGCAAATGCTTTCAACACAACGCTCCTTGCTTTGAGTTGCCTGATCACAACTGAGAAGTGTTGGCCCCAAACTGAAAACTCTGGCTGCTGAGAGCCAAGAAGACTTTGGCGGCGAGTGCGGCTTCCCAGTGAGCCGCTGCGATTTCCTGCGTGAAAGAATAGCTCCAGCAAGCCTCCCGAACTTAATTAAATGTGGTCTTAGAGTAACAACCCCATTTCTTTGAGCCAGCCATGGGAAAAAACCACCCTGGGTTTTTGAAGTGGTTTGCATCCGTGATTTTAGGTGCAAACGTGCACGTCTTTTTTTTCCATATGGCGAGTCCCTCCTGGGCCGTGGCTCAAACTAAGCTGAACTCCAGCAGAGTTGGCCCAGGCTCCCACTGCCGGCTGTTCCGACAGCTTCTGCAGAAGTGAAGGGGAAAAGGAAAGGTCCTGGAGGAGACCTTCCTGTGGGGCAAAGGCAGCAGAGATGTGGGAACCCAAACAGCAAAGCCCCGTTGAGAAACTGTGCCCTGCGGAGCCCTTCCATGCTGGTCTGTCCCCACAGAGGGTTTCAGCCGTGCTTCACAGAGCCTCTTCCAAAGGGGAATTCAGTTTCCTGCTGGGGCTCTGGCTCTTGGGATGAATTTTTGCTGATGCTGGAGGAGGGGAGCTTGGAAATGGTGGCTGCGTGTGAGCCGAGGCTTTTTCTGATGTCAGGGATGTAAAACACAGCCTTTACTACAGCCCTCCCTGGGTGCCCTGGGGTCTGCTCAGGGCTCAGCAGCTCCCCAGGGCTTTCCTTGCCTTCCCTGAACAGCAGATTCCAGGCCTTTTATAGGCAGCACCTGTTAGTTTCCGCCCCTGGCAGCCCTGCTGCAGGTGAAATTCCAGCAGGATTATTTTGGGGTTCCCTTGCCCATTGGCTTGCTCCTTCAGTGAGTGACTGTGGGGCTTCGGATGCCGGTGACCAGCTGCACGTCGTTTCTGGAGCACACAGCCATCCCGGAGCTCCTCACCCAGCTCCTTCAGAGGAAAAAAAAATCTATTTTTACCGGGAAGCATCCAAGCAGCCTCTCCTGAATTAAACCCCGGCCTCTTGCAATCTGTTCAATATCAAATACTTCAAAAGGTGGAATATAGAAAAAAATGTGTCACCAACATGGAAAACTTGCACTGCAGCAAGAGCTGGGATTATTTTGCTCCCAAATTAAACTGAATAACGGGAAGGAGGCAGGCTCTGCTAGATCGTGCTCCTGCCTCTGCTCAAGGCTGGAAGTGCTCTGGGTCTGCACTGCGAGGGTGCTCCCACCTACATGGGAACTGTCAGGTGATGCTTTCCAGGGCTCTAAAACCCTTGGCTAATTCTGGAGTGTAGGATAGAACAGATTACAGGGTCAGAGCACCTAAATGCCCCATGATCTTGGGGGCAAGAGGATCGTGTTCCAATTCCAGGTGGCTTGAAATCCAAGTCGAAGAAAAAAGGTGTCATCAGGCAGTAGGGGAGAAGCAGGGAAACAGTGAGAAATTGTGGTGTTCCATGTTTTTGTGGTTTGAAGACCCCCAGCATCCCACTCCTGGTGCACAAGCATGTCGTGAGCTGCTGGGAAGAAGCTTGGCTGGGCTTTTGCTCCCACTGGCTGGGTGCCTCAAAAGGGGAAGGAGACATATAAGCTGTGTGTGAGAAGCTGTGTTCAGGGAGAAAGAGGAAAGAAGCTTTGGTGGAAACTTTGCATTTTCTAACTTGTGTGTTCTGGGGTTTTCTGTCGACTTCCCCTTTGTGTTTTCCCTTTGGGGAGGGGGGGCATTGCTGTGAGCTGCTGCAGGGAGCTGGGGTCATTCTGAGCAGGAAGGGGTCAGGTTGGGTGTGGTGTGGGCTGATGGATGCAGGCAGGAAGTGGAGAAGCCAGGTCTGGCTAGGACTCTGCTTCTCAGCCAGGAGGTGCGAGCTGGTCCTTGTTGGGGTGTTCCTGTGGTGGATCGTGGCTGGAGCTTGTGTGTCACAGATCAGAAATCCCTGGACAGGGTGATCTGAGCAGAGCTGGGTGAGGGTCTCTGAAGTAGCAGAGGAGAACACGTGGAAAAATACCCCAAAGGCTCATTTCAGTCCTGTCCGAGGGGCTTCCTGGAGCCTCACAGCATCTTTTGCAGTGACCAAGAGCTGCCAGTGAAGTCTCTGGACAGGCGGTACTGCTGGCAGTGTGAAGCCCTTTTTTTCCTCGATCTTCTGGGAGCAGTAGCAGGCAGGAAAGCAGGAAAGCACCTTGCATCCTATCCCTGGACAACAGCATGCTCTGTGCCTGCTAATCCCTGGGCAGGGGAGGCGGGCATGCTGCTGCCCCGGTGAGGAGGGAATGTGAGCTCGGTGCTGTGGAATGCATACAGACCATCCACATTTGGCTGCAAATCGGGACCCTGGGAGAGATCCCTGCTGCTTGCAGGGATAAATCCCTGCGGTTCCAGGAAGGCAGGACCCTTGTGCCAAGGTAGTGGGCAGCCCTTGCTGCACACCAGGCATGGCAGCCAACCCACAGGCAGGGCACCCAGCCACGCTCAGCTCCATGTCCCAGTGCTTCTGTGGATGTTTCACTGCAACCAAGAAATGAATTTTGGGGTTGAGCAGTGCCCACCCTGACACTCTTGGTGTTGGGGTCAGCTCTGGGGCCCCAAAGCAGGCACATCCCCAGCTCTCCCCCTCAGCACACCGCGTGCCTCATGGGGAGATGGGCAGATGGAGAGAGGGAGGATGAGGAGGAGGTGCTCGGCTCGCTCAGGTTGGGCTGTGTGGGGCGGTGCAGGCAGTTCTACCCAATGCAGGGGACCCTCGAGGGGGTAGGGGGTAACCACTCCATAGAAATTGGTTTTACAGAGGATTGCAGTGAGTAACACACTCATCACAGGGCACAGAGTGTGTGGTGGGGGTGGCCCTGGCTTCCTGCTCCTGTGGCCACACATGGGATGTGTCCCTTGCTGTGCTGAGTTCTGCCCGCTAATGAGCTTTGTTTGCCTAATTTGGTGGAGCCAGTACTTGGTGTTGTAGCCCCCTGGGTACATGGAAGGGCTGGGGGTTCCAATCTCTCTGTCTGTCTTGGCCTGGTCCCTGCCTGTGTCACGTCCACGTGCGGTGGATTGGCGAGAGACAGATGATGCCATGATGCTTCTGTGCTTTTGAACTTCCTGTGTGTATTTCTCAACCATTTCTTGCAAAAGGTCTCTCGGCAGCAGGAGATGGAGAAGTCCAGGAGATGCCACAGAAGCAGATCTGGTGATGTTTGCCCTGTGTCAGTGCTGTGTTCAGCTCATGGAGTGCCCGTGGCCTCTGCTCCAGGGTTGCTCCCCACAATTTGGGTGTCACCTGAGGATGGGGTTGCCTCACAGGTGCCCAGGGCACGACTGCTCAGGTGCAGACCAAGGCTCAGAGTGAATGACTCATCTGAACGTGGCATGAAGCAACTCTGTCCCTCTGTGCTTGTTTCGTGGGAAAAACTTGTTCTGATGCTGCATTAACCCTGACACGGCTTCAAAGGGAAACACCAAGGCCTGAAGGTTTCGGCTGAGGATGCTGTGGACTGCTGCCCTGAACAAAAAGCCTTTAACTGGGGCAGGCTGGAGAAACTGCTCCTGGTAATTCTGGCCATAGAAATTGAGTAATTCTGCATACAGTGGAGCAGTGAGAACATCTGTGGGTACAGCACATACCGCTGTGAGTCAGGAGGGATTAACAGCTGCCAAAAATCAGCTCTGGTCTCTCTGACAGCCAGCTGTGGCCAGAGGGGTCAGAGCAGCTTGTCCTGCAGCAGGTCCTCCTGGGAGCATCCAGCCAGAGATTATCCTGCTGGGTCCCAAGGGAAGCCTTGGCACGAGTTGCTGTCCTGGTTTTCCCTGGAAGGAGGCTGTAGCCAGGTGGAGGTCATTCTCCTTTCCCAGATAACGAGCAGCAGGACAGGAGGAAATGGCTTCAAGTTGTACAGGGGAGGTTTAGGTTGGATATTTGGGAAAAGTTCTTCACTGAAAGGGTAAGAGAGCTGTCCAGGGCAGTGGTGGGGTCACCATCCCTGGAGGGATTTAAAGGATGTGTGGATCTGGCACCTGGGGTCATGCTTTGTTCAGGGGCTTGGCAGTGTTGGCTTAGTGGTTGGACTCAGCAATCTTAGGGCTTTTCCAGCCTAAAAGATTTTGTGACTCCATGATGCTGCTGTGAGGGATGTGGGGTGCCAGTCCATGTGCTCCTCGTGCTGCTCAGCATTACCTGCTCAAACACAATGATCTCTGTGTGACCATGACACTGGGTCTGGCTGCCACAGTCACCCTGTTACCAGCAGGTGGATCTAAGTGGGTCCCCCACTTCTCTCCCCATGTGGCTTAAAAAAATGTTCTTTTAAGCAGTGACCAGGACTGATATCTTTTGTGAATTTAGTTGCAATAACTATATCGGCACAGGAAGCACTGACAAAATTAACCCCTGGGTAACCCATGGGTGTGTGGTGAGGGTTGTCTGGGATGTTGCTGTCTGTGCAGGGAGGTGTGGCACAGGTGACTGGATTTGGGACCAGTGGTATGGAGATGCTCCAAAAACAAGGTCTCCCTGTGGTTACTGCTGAGCAGGAACAGTGCCTGCTTGGCTGGCATTGGTGGGGGATTAGCTGTGCTCTGCTGGGATCACCAGGGCTGGGATTCCATGGAGAAATGGGACAGATTCAGGATAGAAAATGCAGTGTCACATTGGTGATGGGAGATGGCTCTTTGGAGCACTTTGTTTTGTACACTTCTTTCTCCTGGCTGACAAAGCCAGGTGGCTGTGGGAGGCAGCCCAGCCTGCTGGAGACTTTGGCAGCTGGGATGTGCTCCATGATTGATCCGTACAGAGCACAGCACAGTCACCAAGCAAAGCTCCATCCAGCTCTGCTGCCAAGTCCTGCAGGCAGAGCAGCGTGCCCATGGCCACAGCCCATCACCTGGGGTGCTCAGCCTGTCCCAGGCTGGGAGAACAGTCAGGAGTCTGGCTGTGTGGTGCCAGGTGAGACCTGGTCTCTTTTTTTCTCTAGGTGTGTGCGCCCAGGCGGGTCAGGCATTCCAACTGCAGCAGCCCCAGGACAAGGTGACAGTGGAAGCGGGGGAGACACTCACCCTGAACTGCACCACATCTGGGATCGCTGGACCAGGTCCTGTGATGTGGCTGAAGGGCTGGGGCAGTGAGAACAAGACTGTCTATGACCAGAATAAGCAGGATCCTTCCTCCCGTGTGACAAGAGTAGTGGATAAGTCTGACACAGACTTCACCATCCGCATCAGGAACGTTCAGCCTGAGGACACGGGCAGCTACTACTGTGTGAAGTTTGTCAAGGGGGACACTGGTGATGATGAGGTGTTTCAGCATGGCCGTGGCACAGAGGTGTCTGTGCAAGGTGAGTGGGGCTCCTGTGGCACAGAGGTGTCTGTGCAAGGTGAGTGGGGCTCCTGTGGCACAGAGGTGTCTGTGCAAGGTGAGTGGGGCTCCTGGAGCAGCTCCTGATGGGAACAGCCCAGTGGGCTCTGCTCAGGTAGAGCCGGGATGGGGAAGGGGCTCAGGGCTGGTCCAGGAGAGGATCCCATGGGCCATCCCCATGCCCTTGTGTGAGACTCTGCTCCAGGCAGGCCCGGGGCTGGGCAGGGGGCAGAGCCTGCTCTGATGGCCCCGTGCTTCTCCCCACAGCCAAACCCAGCCTCCCGCTCGTGTCTGGGCCTGAGCAGAGAGCGAGGCCGGGGCAGTCGGTGCCTTTCACCTGCACGACTGGAGGGTTCTTTCCTGGAGAGATTGAGGTGAAATGGTTCAAGAATGAGAACCCCATGGGGGTTCATCTGCCCCAGATCACCGAGGGGAGGATGAAAACCTACAACATGTCCAGCAGAGCCAGGCTGACCCTGCAGAAGGATGACGTCCTCTCTCAGCTCACCTGCAAGGTGCAGCACCCCACTCTGCCGGCCCCGCTGCATGGCAGCTACCAGCTCAGCAGAGTCCTGCGAGGTGAGGGCTGGGGGACTCCCACTGCTGTGAGCTGCTGTGGGGCTGGGCTCCCTGGGAGGAGGACGGGGGTCCCTGTGGGCAGGAGAGGAGGGGACACCAAACACTGAGCTCTGCCTCTCTTCCCAGTTCCCCCCAGCATCGAAGTGCGCGCTGAGCCGAGCCCCATTGAGGTGAACAAGACCGTGACCTTCACCTGCCTTGTGAAGGAGTTTTACCCAGCAGATGTCTCCGTTTCCTGGCTGGAGAATGGGATTGAGATAAAGGTGGAGAATGCCTCTCGGCCATCGGAGCTCCCCCAGCATTTGTTTGAGCTGAGAAGCCAGGTGGAGGTGCAAGCCACCGAGGAGAAAAACGGGTCCACGATCACCTGCATGGTGGTGCACGATGCCCAGGCCCCTGCCAACAACTCAACCTTCCTGTGGATCTCCAACCCGGCCCAAGGGGCATTGAGCAACGGGTTCCAGATGGCTAAAGGTATGTCAGAGCTGCTGGGATGGGGTGCCTGTGCAGCTGTGTGGTGTCGCCCCCCGAAGAAGTTCAAAGCCCCATTAAAATCTGGTTGAAAGACCAAATCTTCATATCAGGGGGCTGGGGGATGTGATGGTGGCAGGCTCTGAGCTGTCCTCCTTGGAGCTCCATGCCTTGCTGAGCCAATCCCAGTTGTGAGGCTGCAGGGACTGGGACGTACCACGTTCTTGGGCCATGTTGACCTTTTCCTTGATGTTTCAGACGATCTGCTCATCTACATCGTGGTGGGTGTGGTCTGCACCATGCTGGCCCTGCTGGTGGCTGCGATTCTATACCTGATCAGGACCAAGCAGATCAAGGGTAAGGGAGCCAATTGTGTGGCAGGGAGGCAGCTGCTCCCAACCCCATTTTTCCTCTCTTTCCCATGGGTTTCACATTGCCCCATTGGACAATAACTCCTGGCAGTGCAGCTGCAGTCCTGCCCAGTGTGGGTGATGGATAGAGCTGCCCAGGTTGTTTGCAGGCTTCAGGGAAAGCTCTGGGTGGTCTAAACCCTGCCCTGCACCTCCCGTGCTCCCCCAGGAACAGTCCTGAACAAAATTGATTGAAACTCCAGGGAATTGCAGGCCCTTGCCTCTGGGAAAAGATGTGTCCTTGTCCTTGAAGCAGTCTCTGCATGTGGTCTCTGTGCCCAGGGAAATGGGGCATTTATCTTGTTTCCTCAATTAATTTTTCCCTTTTTTTTTCCTGATTTTTTTCCTTCTCTTTCAGCAGGTAAAAGCTCGCCATCTGCCAGGTAAGTGTAGATCTCTTCTAGTCACTGGGTAACCTGTGGGGACTCTGAGCTGGACCTCCAGTCCACAGAGTCCCTCAGGAGTGGGACAGAACTGTATCCCCAAAACTTGTGAAAGGGAAGACAGGAGCACAGTCTCTGTCCATCTTCCCAGCTGGGCTGGGGATTTTTTGCTTGTGGTGGGGCTGAGCAGGCTGATGGGAGCTGGTCTCTGGCCAGCAGAGAAGCAGCTGGACCAGCACAAACCAATGCTCAGGACCTATTTTGCTGGGTGCAGCTGCAAGGACCTTTGCTTGCATCTGACCTCCTCAGCTGATCCATCACCAGGGAAGGGGCAACAAGACCCTCCATCCTTCTGACTGCTTTTGTCCCTCCTTCCAGATTACATGAGCCAGAGAAGAGCAGCGAGGCCACGACACAGGTGGGTCATCCTTCGACTGGGGAGGGAGAGTGGCCCAGAGCCACTGGAGAGGGGACTGGAGGGTGGTGGTTCATCTCAGTGTCTCTGCTCTGTGGCTGGAGGTGGAAGGGAGGCTGCCCCAGGAAGAGGATAGCCACTTCCCAGAATCTTTTCTGCCTTCACCCTCCTTCCTCCTCCTCCTTTTCCTCCCAGTAAAGTCTGGGTTGGTGCTGCCTGGAGAACCAGCTGTGCGATAGCCAGCCAGGCTATTTGTGGAGTTATTTTGCATTTGGTGACGCAGCTACGAGCGTGAAGTCGTGATCAGCAGCAATCTATTCATCCCACCCAGGCTCTGCCAGCTCTCGTGTGGGCATCACTGGGCAGTCTGGCCCTGCTGGGATGGAGTGGCTCCAGTGATAGCTCTGGAATTGTGGCAGTGGTTTTGAAGCCAGAGCAGGGTGACAGGGTGGCTCATGATGTGAAGCTGTAGCATGGGGTAGTGCATGGCTTCAGGATGGCAGCTGCTGGCATTGTTCCCTCAGAGAAGCAAGGTTGAGGTGCCCCAGGCTGAGCCGTGGTGGGATTGACTCCAGAACAGGGCTGTGGGTACAGGAGCATGCTCCCAGAGGAGGAACTCTTGGTGCCTCACACAGGAATCCGACCCCAACAACCTGACCTATGCGGACCTGAACTTCGACAAGGAGAGGAAGAGCATCCGGCGGATGGTGGAGATGAGCCAGCAGTCGGAGTACGCCTGCATCCAGACCAACCAGGCACCCAACGGCGACGACAACCTCACCTACGCCGACCTGGACATGGTGCACCTCAGCAAGGCGCCCAAGCGGCCGGCCCCGCGCCCCGAGGAGGCTGGCTCCGAGTATGCCAGCGTCCAGATCACCAGGAAGTGAGCAGTGGCTGCTGGGACCCCCTGTCCTGCTGGGAGCAGCTCTGCTCCTCCCCAAGACTGTTCTCTTGGAAGCACCGGGAGCCATGTGAAGATGTGCTGCGGTACCTGTGTTTTGGGATGGAAATGGAGCCCGCAATACTTGTGGGGATCTTCTCCCATCCACAGAGACATGATTTTTGGGGGTAGTTTGGTCCTGGGGCCACCAGCTCCATCCCTTCAGGACCCCCATCAAGGGTTGCTCAACCTCAGTGTGCCGGGTTTGCCCGCAAGCAGGTTCAGCCAGCGGAGCAGCGGCTCCTCGGGCAGCTCCAGCTGGGCTGAGGGGACAGGTACAGTGCCTCCACACCAGCTCTCATGGGGACGCCACTGCCTGGCCCACGGCTCCCCAGGACCAGCAGGGCCCCCACACTGCCTTCTGGGGCTCTGCCACCACGCCTGGACACCAAACTCTGGCTTTAAAGGAAGGACCGACGTGTCCTCCTCTCTTCCCAAGTGTCCCTTCTGCGGGACCTCTGTCTCGCCACAAGGCCAAGAGGCTGCAAGGCCGCTGAGCCAAGGCCCCCGCCCTGCCGTCCAAGGGAGCTCCAGGTCAGGCTCCCCAGCACCGAGCATCCTCCTCATCCTCATCATCTCCCTGTGCACAGCCTTGCCCTGCATTGGGACCCACCAGCGCTGCCCCAGGCTTGTACAAAGCGTGCGAGGGCCCCCCCAGCCTGGCTCCCCCCGGGAGCTCCCCGCAGGTACCGTGTAACATGTTTTGACTGTTTGACATGTAACTGTTAATTTTTAGAGCTGAAACCCCCAATGTTTTGTGTTGTACGTGGGTGTACTGCTGTGTACTTAACACTAGAATAAGATGTGCAAAATTAAGACTGAGGCCTCAGTAAAGAATCCCCCAAACCCTACAGAGTTTATAAGAGACTTATATGCTCCCCCCACCCCAGTTCTGTCTGGGGGGCCAGGCAGGCTCCCCCCAGCCCAACCATGGGGACAAATGTCTTCCATGTGCTCCCTACCTGGGCCACTGTGTGGAGTTTCAGCCTCTGTTGGCTCCTGCAGCAGTGGAAGTGTGGGGGGCTTGAGGGCACCTGGGGTTCTTGAGGGTGCTTTGGGAGCAATGTGACTGCTTGTACAGGCCTTTTTTTGTTTTGTTTTTTGTTTTTTTTTTTCTTTTTGCTTGCAAGATATTTTTATAATAAAAGTGAAAAGTCCTGTGCTGCTCCCACACATCAGCGTGTCCCTGTGCTCAGGGGGGTCACCTTGTCACTGGCATTGGGGCTGCAGGGTGGGTTTGGGGGTCTGTGTGTCCTGCAGGAAGGAGGAGAGGAGGGCTCGTCCTGCACAGCCCTGTCGTGTGCGCTGGAGGGAGAGAAGAGGAAGGCAGGAGGTCAAGGCTGGGATGAGGGCTATGGTGCTGGTTCCCCTGGGCACCATGAGGGAGGGGAGCAGTGCACCCCATGCACTGCTGCATCTTTGGGTGCAGGGAGCTGAGCTGGAGCTGGGGTGCCCAGACTGGTGTGCAGGTGGGCTGGGTGCTGGCTCCAGCCTGTGCTCTGAGTGAGCTGAGTGTTCCAGTGCTCTGCAGTGACCTTCCCCCCTTTCCCAACCTGGAGCTGGTGCCTGGGCTGTGTCTGGGGTATGAACTGTGCCTCACCAGAGCCAGGAACTGCCCTGTGAGGCTACACAGATGCCCAAAAGGGAAGTTGGTGCCCAGGCTGGGCTTCCTCAGCACGGAGCTGCTGTTGGGTCACATATGATCAGAAAAGGGACAGTTTGCCCCCTGCCCTCAGCACAACTGTCCCTTTCCAGCTGGAGCAGGAGCTGTGATTCCCAAGGGAGTCTCTCCTGCCTGCTGCTGCAGGAGGTACCTTGTCAGCACCCTACACACCCCTGCAGCAGGCTGAGCATGCCTGCCTGCACTTGCTCAGCTGAGATTGCCTTGTCACACTCGGGATGTGGCTCCAGAGGTGAGTGGGGTCCCACATTCATTTTGGCACCCATAGCACAAGAATGATACTACCATGTGCTGCCTGCAGGTCTCACAGCCAGCACCCCTGGCGCATTTGGGCACCCCAGTTTGGGGTGCTTGCTCTGCCCTGCAGAGCATGATCAGCACCCAGTATGGCTTCAGCTTCGTTGGCATCTGCCTTTTATTGACTGCGGCGGGGGAGTGGGGTGTTGGGGCATGGGGCTGACCCTGCCTCTAGAGTCACTCTTGGAGGGGGAGCCTAGGGGCACCAGGTGGGTGCTGGGGTTAGTGGGACACTGTGAGAGGCTCGGGGAGGGGAGTGGGGGCTGGGCTCAGCACTTCTTGAGCACCTGGTGATGGTGCTGTGGCTCCACCAGCCACCTCTGCCCATGGCCATGGCAGCCACCTCCCTGATCCTGGTTCATCCTGCTTCATTCCCAGTGCTCGGAGCCCCCTGCACTGTACCTCAGCTGTGATGGTTTCCAGACCCTGTTTTTCCAGCAGCTATGGGAGGATGGAGGATATAGATGGGTATGTGTCCCCAGCAATACACCCCTGGGAACCCTGGGCTGGGCCAGCAGCCAGAGGAGTGGCACTGCCCCCTCCATGCACAGGATGGGCAGAATGAACCAGAGAGGGACAGCTGGGGACAGAACTCATGGTCCCCTCAGGGGAATGAGGCAAGAGTGACACCAGCCACAGCAGGCTGGGCAGGGGCAGGGCTGGGGGCGATGGCACAGTCGGGGTGGCAGTGTGGGGACCGCGGTGCTGCCGTCCCACGCCTGGCTCTACAGGTCTGAGACCTCCCCTGAGTAGGCGCTGGGGTCCTCGTCCGACCGTGTGGTCACCTTGAACTGCCTCCGCAGGAAGCCCCCGTAGCGCTTCTGATTGTCCCACTTGAGCTTGGGCCTGATGCGGCGCAGGAAGCCCCCGTAGCGCTTGTGCAGCTGCGCCAGCTCTGGCCCCTCGGCCCCGGCACCCGTGGGCTCTTCATCCCCGTCCTCTGCCGGCCCCGGGGAGTCCTCGGGGGCCGCTCGCTCCCCCGGCTTGCGGCTGAAGCCCCCGGACTTCTTGCTGAGGCCACCCTTGCTGTGAGCGTTCTCGCGGAGCAGGGACAGCAGCTTCGCCTTGGACATCATCTTCATGAAGCCCCCGTAGCGCTTGGCCGGTGCCAGCGGCAGCTCTGCGGGGCCCAGACCCTGCTCCGGCTGCGCCTCATCCTCCTCTGCCTCCTGTGGGGACGGGTCTGTCCCTTCTGCCAGGGCCACCAGCGGGGCCAGGAGCGCCAGCACCTTCCTGCACATCTCCCACTCAGGGCCGGGTGACGAGGAGCCCTGGCATTCCCACAGGCACATCTGTAAGACAGTGGCCCCAGGTGCTCGGGCTGAGCCCTTGCCTTCGTCCCACGCCACCCCAAGCCCAGGGGGCTGTGCCCACCGCGCTGCTCAGCTCAGCGAGAAGCTGAGGTTTGCACAACCCCAGCACCCTGCGGTGCCCATGAGCACCACACCAGGTGCCACCCAGCTCTGCCACCCTGCACCCGTGACACTGCACTGCTGTGGGTCCCTGGCTCAAGCCCGTGTGGGGCCAGCACTCACCAGGGGCTGGACGCTGCTCTCGGCACCGCGGGTCTGGGCTGCGCAGAGGGAGCACTGGGTGACACAGTCGGCAGATGCCACCGCAGACAGGGACAGGCAGAGTGCCAGTGCCAGTGCCCGTCGTGCCATCTCGCCCTGCAGCCTCTGCCTGGAGAGAGAAGACAGCACAGAGCCTGTTGCCATCCCTGTGCCAGTTCTGGGGGGCCATCACTGCTCCACAGGCACTGGGCACCTACCACCTCCATCTGTGAGCTGCTCCTGGGATCATACACAGGGACCTGTGCCTGTGCCCATTCCCATGTCACTCACCTCCAGGTGCTGCTCCCACCAAGGACACCACAAGATGTGACCCCTTACCCTGGCTGCATCCTAGTCCTTGGCACAAGCCCAGAGCCATAGCTAGTCCCTGGTGGCCACCAAGTCACTATGGGCAAGACCACTGTTGCATCTTATCTCAGTTCCATCCCATCTATCCTCTCCAGGTCTTACCATACCATTAGAAAGAAAAGTCCCTTTTGTTCCCCAGCATTGGGTTTCTCTGTGATTGCCACGTCTGCGTGGCGCAGGCAGATGAATCACCAGCTCTTCCCCTTGGCCTTGGGGAAAAGAGCCACAGCAAATGGAGCCGTGGTGGCAAGGGGATGGGGTGAGGCCATGGCCCAGTGTGGACTCACCCCAGGCTCCTTAACCCCACGCCAGCGCAGCCTCATCTCCCCTCCCTCGCACCCACCAAGTCTGCTGGGCTGGTGCATCAGGAGAAAGGGGGGGAAAGGAGGACTCTGGGTTCAAGCCTACCTGCAGACCATTGCCATCCTCCAGACATTTGAGAGCTGTGGTGGAGCCTTTGGCCTCTGGACGGACGAGGACACTGTGCTCAGCTGGGAGAGGGGTTCTGCAGGTGGCAGTGCCAAACCTGACTCCAGGTGAGGCTGGAGGGGCCACTGCCAACCCCAGCTGCAGTGCCACAGGATCACCGTGCCATTGGAGCCATGACAGCCCTGGAGTAAGAGCCAGCCCCAAAGGGTGCACTGCTGCAAACCCCTGTCTGCCTCCGTTGCTGCTTTTATCTAGGGTGGGTAAGGCATGACCCAGAGGGATCTGTTACACATTAATGACGCATATTAGAGACTATTGTGCTCTCTAGCAGTAGCTGCTAATGTACTGTAATTGGTACTGATGAAGAATTGTTAATGCCACAGTATTAATTCATGCTAGATTAAAATTTAATTTGAATTATCTGCACCATCGTGTGTCGAGCTGTCTGCATTCCTTGGCTGCACAGCCACCAGCTCCGTGAATCCTCCCTGTGCCCTGGCAGTGTGGCAGGGAACAGGATGGCAGCTGCCCAGGATGGCAGGGGCTGAGGGACCTCAGCCAGCCCTTGCCACTGAGACACGGGGACAGTCCCTTATTGCGTCAGGGCCACCGAGACAGCACCGAGGAGCGAGGACAGGCCAGCCACACAGGTAGGTGCCAGCTGCAGCACTAGGGGGAACGAAGCTCCCCAAAAGAGCTGATGAGTGCTTCGCAGGAGCCCCACTGGGAATCTTTTCCTTCCCTTTCCACACCTGCTTCCCCTCCCTTGCTCCTCTGCTGCCGGTATCCCCGTGGGTGCCGCCAGAACAGCGCGCAGGAACGGCACCGGGGATGTGCCCGTGCTGGGAACAGCTGCTGGTTTGTCTGACACTGCACAGTTCAGACCTCTGGCATTCTGGACACAGTGTGTCCTATCCCTGTCACCCCACTGCCGACAGAGGATTTCATGGCACTCAGGGGAGCTGCAGTTCTCCGAGCACGGCGTGGCCAAGGACACTCTGGGACACCCCACTGCAAACGTACCGTGTCCAGGTGGTGCCACAAATGTCCCAGCAGTGCTCTGCCTGCTCCTGAAGCTGGGATAAGGAGGACTGGCAAAATGGGAACAGGAAAAGGAGAAGAAAACAAAGGGCTTTGGACAAAAGAGGAAAGAAGCAGTGAGGAGGGAAAAGTGAAAAGAACACAAAGGGAGGAAGAAGAAAAGCAGAGTTTGAGCTCAATCCTGTGTTACCTGGAGGAGCCCAAGGCTCCGGAGCCATCCCTCCTGCAGGAACATCTTGGAAGGATCGTGGCAGGATCTGACAATGCCAGCATTGAGTCCCAGCCTCTGTGGCCACACTCAGCACATTCCACCTGTGCCAGGTGCCTGCCGGTGTCCCTTCCTCCCCTGTCCCGTTTCCACTTGAGACTTCAAAGACCAGGCTTTACTTTGGAAAGCCCCCAAGCTGCATCCATGCACCCCAGGGGCCAGTTACAGACCTGGTGACCCAAAGGAGGGATGAGGAATCAGGACTGTGTGTGCTGGACAGCAGAGACTGGCCCCATCTTGACTAACCTGTGATTATACCTAACAAAGGATGTGAATGGCTCTCCCAGACTGAGCAGATCCCTCCTCCCACACAGGTCCAGCTCCATAGGTTTTGATCCTGCACATAGCTCTGGTGGAGAAGAGCAATCAACCTTCCAGCATCTCCTTTCCTCACCTCTAAAAATTTCCTGGAAACACTGTCAGGACAAGGCTTCTCCAAAAAGCTGGTAACTTTTGGAATAGAATCACTCAGCACTGCAGCCACACTACTGCTTGACCAAAGGAAGGGGAGAGAGAATCCCCCATCCTCTCTGCCCACTCCCTTTGCCCCTCCAAGCCTTGGGTGATTCTGCTGCCAGGACGGATGGAAATGAATCCCAGCAGAGCTCTGGACAGCTGTTCATGGGCTCTGAAACCGCTCAAGGGATGAGAGGGACCTGCAGCCATGTGGAAGCTCCCCAAAATAACACAAGTCCAACCACAAGCCACTCTCAGCAGTGCTGCTCAGGGGGTGTTCTTAAACTGTTGCTTTTTGGGGAGCAAGAGCGATATCCCCTGGTTGTGCCCACGCAATGGAAGGGGGATGACAACCCCGGCAGCCCTACCTGCCGCTGCTCCCCGTCCCGCCGAGCACCTGCTTCGCCAAGTCAGGACGGGTCGTGGCTGATGGATGTCCCTCCACGGGCGTCAGGCTGCGCCAGTCATCGGTGGCAAGGCCACAGCGGCGGGTGGCCCCACGGTGCCGCCCGAGTTGTCCACCGGACTCGCCGGCGGCTGCCTCTCACCCCGCTTTTATGGCCACGGAGTCTCCTCCTGCGGCGGGGCCCGGCTGTGCGCGGCGGCAGAGCCAATCGGGGCGAGGGAAGCTGTGAATAATCAGCCCCGCAGCATCCCCGCCACCTCCCGAGCAGGCTCGCCCGCACCGCCGAGGCCTCCCCGCAGCCCCCGGCCGCCCCGGGGATCGGGGTGCGCATCCCACCGCTGCGGCTGCATCACTCGGAGACTTCCGTCGTGCCCCGCCGCGGTCCTCGGGGCCGAAACGCGTGCCCCAAACAAGGAAGGTGGCAGAGAAGTGGGATGGGGTCTGTCGGTCTTCCCACACAGCTGCTTCCCAGAGGGGTTTGGCTGCTGGGGGTGTGAATCTCCTGGACACTGAATTCAAATAGTGTCCAAGAAGTGTGGAGAGGGAAAGGTGAATCCTTGACCTCCTCTCACCCTGTTCCCCAGGCTGGGGAGAGGCACCGTCCTCGTGGAGAAGCTGGGGAGAGAACTGAGCCCATCCAAAGCTGCTGGGAAGGGAGAGAGGGTCTTCATGCCCCGGGAAAAGGATGTCCCAACCCACCCAGCCTAGCTGCTGTCAGGTGAAAAAGCCTTTGCATAGAAACCCCCCAACCTCTGCAATGTCAGAGCTCAGAGCCCAGCTCCACATCTCCCTGAGCCCCCTCCTCATGAGGGCAAACACTGAGATGAGCCAAAGAGGCAAGGGGGGCTGGGTGGGGGCAAAAAACCACCCCCACTTTCCTCACTCAGCCCCGATTCCTGTTCTCACACATTTCCAAGTCTGATTTGGGGATAAAGGAGAACAGCACTGGGGCAATGACAGGCAATCCCTGAGCCCCTACACCCCTGTCTCACTGCATCATGTCACAACACACGTGTGGGATGGGGGTCCGAGGTGCAGACCCCACAGGACATCCTGCACTGGCCCCCCACACCCCGGTGGGTGCAGACATATCCCCTGCGTCGCTGGCAGTGCAGCCAGTCCTCTCGCCTTGAAGATGGAGCTATTTTTATCGGAGCTCAAGAGGGATGTTTCCCAGCAACCTACTATTCTCCCAGCTCGAACACCAGCTGCTGGACCTGGTGCCCCCTTGCTCAGCCCTCCCAGCACTGGTGAGGGAAGTGGGGGCCATGGACACTGCTGGGATCCTCTGCTGGGCATTCGGCAGCCACGGCAGCCTGTGCCCCTGGTCCTGTGTCAGGGATGGTGATCAGGTCCCCCCCTCTCCCCAGCTCCTTGAAAAGCAGGTGGGACCCCACGGCTTTTGTCTGGAGGTGGATTTTAACTCATCCAGGCTGGGGCTGTGCTAACACGGAGGGACCAAGGGAGCAGGGTGTGGGGTGAGGGGGAGGGCAGAGCCCTGCATCCTCCTCAGGGCCATCGGAGGAGCCCATCCCTCCATCCCTGGTGCTGCAGCGAGGGGGGATGGAGCTCAGGCCCCGCAGGGGCACAGGGCAGCCACGGCCCCGCCTCGCTGTGTCGGGGTGTGCTGGGCTGTGAGGGCACAGAACAAAAGCTGAGAAGAACAAAACGCATCTGCAAACGACCACAACACCCTGGGCGAGGGGCTGTGGGCAGCCCTCGGGCGGTTTAACCCTTGCTGCTGCGACTGATGGCCGTGCGGACACCACAGACACGGCGGGGGGGAGCATTTCCACACCAAAGCCATTATTTTTATATGAATATGTATATATGCACCCAGCGGCCTGGGGTGCAGTCACCTCCCCGCACAGGGTAATTGCACACGAGGGAGATGTGTTAGAGATTGAGCAAATCCTAAGAGTGAAAAGTCGTTTGGATTAAGGTTACTTCCCTTTGCTCCGGGTGGGAGGTCGAGTTACTCCGGTCCCCAGAGCAAAGTGCCACAGATCTACTGAGCTGGTTAAGAGGGTCCTCCACGGGTCCAGGGCGTGGAGGGTGTCAGGGTCCCCCGGGAGAGGAGCTGGGAGCCAGCCCACCCACCAGCAATTCAACTTAATATTCATCTGTCTCTTCCTAATGGAAAGTGTCTCTGAGTCACACTGACATTTCCCTGGGACAATGGTAATTAAGTACCTGGGTAAGTGAAATGTGCGGTAATAGAAAAGTTAACTTTTCCAAACTACGTGAGTGAAAGGCGCGCTCGGCGAGGAGGGGGCCGAGCGTGCCAGGCACCCGCGGAAAGCAGGTGGGAGTTAATGTCAGCTCACGTCACACGGCGCTGCCACTCTGCCCCTGAGCCCCCCCGAAGGACTCTGCCCCAGAGCAGGCAGGGCTCCCCATCCCGGGATGGGGTAAATCGCCCCTGCGGCTGCTACAAGCTCTGCCAGCCGCCGCGGCTGTCCCCAAGCAGAGGGACCGCGACCCAGAGCTGCCGGCTACGCTGTGGTTCCTCCAGCATGCTCAGCTTTATCCCATTCAGGGACAGGGCTTTTCCAGGAACTCCCAAAACGTTTGCTTGCATTCCTGCCTGGCTTTGCCGTAGGCAGGAGAGGGAGGTGTTCAGACGCATTTTGCGGGACATGGGAAGAAACGCGGGTGGGTGATGCCCGGGATTCTGCTCGGATCGAGCGTGACCGCAGCGGAGCGAGCCTCCGGCAAAGGGAGCACCGGAGCAGGGGGCGGGCAGCGCTGCCCAGGCGGGCACACGGTGACCTCCCTGCGTGGGCAGGAGGCACAAGTGCCACTCGACGGTGGTACGAGAAGCGGCGCTCTCGTAAACACGGCGAGTCACGCCGCTGCCACCGTCTCCGAGCGGCACCGGGGGCACGGGGCTGCGGCACGACCCCCGCAGCCTCCCCGGGAGGTGAAGTGGCTCTATTTAAAACCAAATTGAGGTCAAACCACTTTCAGGAGCTGCAGCAGGCGCCGTGACACCGCGGGGCAGCCCCGCATTAGAGTGGCCGGTGGCTCCGGGGGTCGCCGTCCCTTCCCCGGGGGGACCAGCGCGACGCAGCCGAGAGGCGCTGGGGCTGCGTGACGGCAGCGGCACATGGCTCAGCAGTGGGTCAAGAAAACGGAATTTTGAGAGTTCCTCCGTGAACCTGCGCTGAAGACGCTGTCTTTGACCGGCCGCAGTGCCCGCTGCCAACGGCACCGCGCGGGGGGCAGGAAAACACGGGAGAGGCGGCTAGAAAAGTACATTTTGCAGGGTCGGATCGCCATTCCCTCCCCAAATCCACGAGGAGCGAGACGGCAGCGTGCAAAACCCCGAGCCCAGGGGGCTGCCAGCAGCGTCAGGAACAGGATGAGACATCCGGGCAGCCCGGAGTGGACGGATAAGCGTGATGCCCACGGCCCGGGGAGTGAAAAGCAATTTCGGGATGGTGCGTGGTTCATGGACCTCTGTGGTTCACCCCACCTGCTCGCAGGAGAAATGCCACCAAACCAGCCAAGATTCAGCCCCGCGGGGACACGGCCATCCCGGAGGGACACACTGCAGCCCCGCGGTCTCCCCCCGGCCCTCGCCGCCCCTCGGGGTCCCCGCGGGCAGTCGCCGGGTCCCGCTTTTGTCGTGCCCGTCCCACCAAACGGACACCCAGTGGGTGCCAAGCCGCTCCACGCCACCCTGGGGTGCCCCCAAAAACCTCGGTCCCGGCCCGCAGGGATCCTCTCGGGATCGCAGCCCCTTTCCCGGGAACTTCCAACTGGAAAGTCCCCGGTGATCCCCGGCAGTGGGGTCGAACCGTCGGGATGAGCGTGGTGCCCGGGAGGGGCCCCCGAATGCTGCCGGAGCTGTGAAACCGGCCCCGAGCCGCGCACCCGCCCCTCCCGGTGCAGCTGCACAGCTCCAGCCCGCCGAACACCCAGCACGGCGCACTACCGGCGGCGCAGCGCGTCCCGGGGATTTACCGGGAGCCCAGGATTTATTGAGTCTGGGGGCACCACCCCCTCTCCGGGGAATCACCTCCCCGCCGGGTCATCACCTATAATGTGTGCACCGCCCCCCCTCCCCGGTGCCCCGTGTCCCGGAGCATCACTCCCCTGGCGGCATCATCACACACAGCCCTCCCGGTGCCCCCGGACCCCTGTACCGCACGGCCGGTGCACCGCTCCCCCCAACCCATCCCGGGGCATCCCGCCCTCCCGGGGCGGGGGGAGGGGGCTGGCGGGGGCGGGTCACCCCCCCGCCGTTACATAAGGGGTTACGTCAGGGCGCGCGGCCACGCTCTTATCCCACCGCCGCCGCCGCCGCCGTCGCCGTTCCCCCACCCCGCCCATTCACGCGCCGCCGCGCAGCGCCCGGCCCGGAGCCGCCGCCGCGCCCCAGGTGAGCCCCGCGGGCCGAGCCCGAGCCCGCAGCGCCTTCCCCGGGCCGCACCGGGAGGGACGGGGGGAAGGGGAACGGGGGGAGCCCCGCGGCGGCGCCGGGGCTGCCGCGACCGCCCTGTTTACACCGGCGCGGCGCGTACCACCGTGGCGGGGGAGCGGGAAGGGCCTGCCGCCGCGCTGAGCCCCGGCCGCGCCGAGCCGCGCTGGCGGCGCCGCGACCCGGCTACCGCGGCCGGGGCGGGAAACCCAGGCCTCCCTTTCCGAGTACGCGGCCGGCACCGAGGACAGGCCGAGCCCGGTCGCGGCGGCCGCCGGCCCCCCCCGGCGCCGCGGTGGTTCGGCCCGCGCGGCCGCGATTGGCCGAGCGCTTAAACGGGCCGGCAGCGCGCGCTTTTCCGCCCCGCGGCGCGGCCGCGGCATCGGCGCGTGCCCCCTCGCCCGCGCGGCGCTGCCCGGCACGCGGGGCGGGGGGGGCCATGGACGGCGGCCGCCGCGGGACACAAAGGACGGCGCGGCGGCGGCGGGCGGCTCGGCGCGGGGCCATGGCGGCGGCGGCGGCGGGGCCGGGCATCGGCGGCGGCGGCGGCGGCCCGCGGTACAGCCTGCTGGCCGAGATCGGCCGCGGCGCCTACGGCGTGGTGTACGAGGCGGTGTCGGGCCGCAGCGGCGCCCGGCTGGCGGTGAAGCGGATCCGCTGCGACGCTCCCGAGAACGTGGAGCTGGCGCTGGCCGAGTTCTGGGCCCTGACGAGCCTCCGGCGGCAGCACCCCAACGTGGTGCGCTTCGAGGAGTGCGTCCTGCAGCGGCACGGCCTGGGGCAGCGCATGAGCCACGGCAACAAGCGCAGCCAGCTCTACCTGCGCCTCGTCGAGACCTCCCTCAAAGGTACCGGCACCCCCGGGGCACCCCCGGCACGGCCCCGCGCCCTCCCGGGCCGCCCCCCGGCTGCCCTCCGCACCCGCGGCCTCCAGCGGCCCCGTCCCTGCCCCCCGTGCCACCCATCCCCGCCCCTGAGCACCTGGGGCTGCCACCCATCAGTGCCCCCCACGCCCAGATCCTCCTGCTCCCTTCCCAGGTGAGACCCCTGGAGCTGGGGTGCCCCATGCAGGACATCCTGGTTTTGTTTCTCCTTTCTCCGTGGACACCCTTCCACCTCAGACACTGCTGCTGCCCTCCCTTGCTCCCCATCACGCTATTGCTCAAACCCTTCCTGGGTATTGCCTGTGCTTAAGAGCACCCAAAGCTTCCCTCAGCTCTCACAATGCCCTTCCTCCCACCCTGACTCACTGCTTTTCCTGTTCAACTGCCCCTGGGCTCTCCCCACTGTGCCCCTGAGCACCCATCAGCCCTGCACTCTTGGGGTCCTCTCTGGGGTATCTGCTCTAGGCTTGTTCCCATTACCCATCTCTGTCCTGTCCCTGCAGGGCTCCCCAACAGGGTCTCTTTGCTGCCACTCACCCTGAACACACCTGAGGGACCCATGTTCTGGATTCTATCCCCCCATGCTGTGCCATCCCCTCCACTCTCCCTTTCCTGTGTGATGCTCCCAAGAACCATTCCCTAAGTCCCACCCATGTCTTGCAGCAGTGCCAGTGGAGTCCCTCCATGTGCCCTGCGGTCCTGCCCCCAGTCCTGAGGGACCCTGTTGCCACCTCCAGCCTCAAACCTAGCCCCTGGGGGACATCCCTGTGTGCTGGAGCCCTGTCCAGCACTGACTTGTCTTCCCTTACCCCCCAGATCCTGAGGCTCCATCTGCTGCCCTGGCCTGTGCCACAGCCCACACACATCCCCTTGGGGACCGTCATAGCCTGTGCCCCAGTCACAGCAAGGGGACATCTTCCCCTCTCTGCCCAGTGTACTGTCCCATCTGCAGCCTGTTACAGCTAAATATCTCACTGTCCCCGTGTCCCACCAACTGCTGGCTCTGTGGGAACAGCCCTGGAAGCACTAATGCTGTAGCCTGGGCTGATACTCTCATTTTCCTCTGGGGACCCTCAGCAGCATTATGGGGCTGTTGGGGGTCACCTTCTCCTGTCACAATCGATAGTTGCGATGGTGATATCTCCGAAATGCTCCCTCCCTCTCCTCCCTTGGCTGCTTGTCAGACCCAGCTTTGCCAGTGTGGAAAAAGATGTGGAAAAATACAGGAGCCCTGTGCCCTTGATGCCCCTGTGCCTCCCAGCCTGCTGTGAGCAGAGCTGATCTCCCCAAACTTGTATGCCAGGATTCCTGTCAGCTCCTTGGGGTGCTCTGTCTCCCTCAGCCCCCAGACCCTGTGCCAGGCAAAGAGTTCATGAAGAACTCCTGGGATCCATCCTCTGAGCAAACCTCTGGCTCTGACTGTCCCTGCCTTGCCTGTCACCCTCTGTGTCCCTGGTGAGTGGACATGTCCAGACGTGCCTGGCCTCTCTGTGCATCCCAGCTCCTGCTCTTCCTTCACACAACCACCCAAGGGAGGCTCCCTGAGACGGGCAGTGTCCAAATTCCTGTACAGCCAGGGCACACAGCTCCCTGGGAGAGCAGCCAGCTCTTCCCTTTGGGTGTGTCCAGCTGTAGCAGGAATAGGGGGTCCTGCCTCCTCTGTCATGTTCTGTGCCCTGAGGAGGCTTGGCTTGGGGGAATGCTCTTGGGTAGCTGGAGATGCCCCATCTCCAGGTGGGGAAGGAGACCCATCTCTGGGGGGCATTGAGCCTCCTGAACTCCCAGCAGTGGGGAGGGCTTTGCCTGCCCTGGTCCTATGGCCACCCCTCAGAGGGGAGCAGAGCTGGGCTCCCAAAACCAAGCTGGAGCAAATTCTCTTTTCCATCTGCCCGGCTGCCCTTGGGGCTGTGTTGTGCCAGGCAGCCTGTGCTCGCTGCCTTCCCGAGCCTTGGGGCTGGTGGAGGTGGATAAATATTTTCAAAACAAGAAGCTGGAGCTGGATGAGCCCTGCAGGTCTCCTGCTCTCCTTCCCTGGCGGCAGCAGAGCGGTGGCCGTGGAGCTGTGCTGCCGTGCCATTCTGCACGACCGCAGCTGGGCTATTTACGGGCCAGCGCAGATGCTGTGCCAACGTGCTGGGGCTCAGACATGGCGAGGATTAATCTGAGACTTTCTGAACCGGGAGCGCGACTGCCGGGATAGCAGGCGGGCTTTGGTCTCGGCTACGGCACAGAGCCTGAACCTTCATCATTTTAACGAGGTGTGGAGTAATTAAATTTAGGGGCAGGATGTGAAAAGGAAGGTGGAAGCTCGGCACTGAGCTGGAAGAGAGGCACCTGAGCCCTGTCACAGGAGCACCTCCAGTGCTTGTGCACATCACATGCCCCTCTTTTGTTCCTAGCATAGAGCAGTGACGGAGCTGCCTTAAGTGAACAGGTATAAGGTGTTGATTCCTGTTCCTCCCATGTCATCTGTGGGGCCATCAACCTACCACCAGCACTCAGCCTCACTCATGGGCTGCCCTGGCATCACCTGTGTGTGTTGTCATCATTCCAACTGCCTGGAATTCCGTGCTGCCAGCTCCTATCTCTCTGGTGCAGCCTCCTTGCACAGAGGGAGTCAGAGGTTACATGTGTTTGTGGGCACTGGGATGCTGCTTCTGCTCTCGCAGGATTTTTATTTCCCCTGTGAAGCTAAGCAAATTAGCATGCTGTTAATGAGCTCCCCAGGGGGGTGGAGGGGAGGTGTGTGTGTGCTGCTGGAAAGATGGAGTGCGAGTGTATGCCATGCTGTGTTTGGGCAGGGAGCACATGGGGATGCTGGCTTGGTGATAGAGAACAGGTCCAGCCTGTCATTGGCATCTCCTCAGCTTTTGACTGCTTGTCTTCAGTTTGCTAACATCTCATCTTTAGGGAGCGTCTTGCCAGCTCTTTATGTTTAAAGCTGTTTGTTTTGAAAGCAGGAAGATGATTTAACAACTAAAACACTTTCAGATTATAGAAAGAAAATGAGGAAATATTACTTTTGGCTTAAGTCTCTACTCACAATGCTCCACCCAAAGCGAAGTGCCTGGTGCTCACAGCAACTGCTGGATCCCCATCATTTTTCATGTGTTTGCTGAGGTTCAAGGGCCAAGTTTTAAATCAGAGCCTTCCTTATGCTAAAAAACAAACCTTGTCTTGTCAAAAAAACAAACCTTGTCTTGTCAGAGCTAACAGGTCCTGGCTGCTGCTGAGTCAGTGTTTGAGCCACTTCCTGTGGGAAGGGGCTGCCAGCAGTGCTGTGTGGATGCTCTCACCTGTCTGTGTGTGAGGGATGTGGGGCTCTGCCGTGCTCCCTGTCATGGTTTGGTTCCTGGCAGAGAAGAGACAGACACTCCTGCTCCGTGTTGGGGCTGTATGGCTGCAGAGGGGAGCAGGAAAGCCAAACCCTGTGTCCTGCTGTGATGTCCCTGGGATTTAACAAATCAAAGTGGTGGCAGCTGTGTGAGCTGAGGCTGTCCTGGCTGTGCCAGGGTCTCTGTTCCCAGGACAAGCAGACTCTTCTTCAGCTCCCATGCTCTCATGCCAAAGGTGGCTTGCACCAGAGAAGTTGCCTTTCCTGGTCAGCATTTTGGTCTCCAGAGCCAAGCTGTCCTGTGCTGCTCCCAGCAGGTCTTTGGGCTTTCATGGAAGTGCATCCAGTGCCCTGTGTAACTCCACCCTGTTCTTTCATCCCCTAGATCTAACCTTCAGACTTAATCTCAGCAAAAAATTGCTGAGGATGGGGAGGTGCAGCCAAATCCTTCTGTTGTGCAGATTTCAATTTCCATAGCAGTAGCCATGGATACAGACTGTTTGTGCAAATAACCAATATTCCCACCCACACTGACTGCTGACCAGTGCAGCCCAGGGCTGGGTGTCCCTGGTAGTCCTTGGCTTTACCTGCTGCTGGAAGTTTCTTGCTTTCCCAGATGCTCTCTAGGGCTTTGCTCAAACAAAACCCAACTTTGTCAAATGGGTGGAGTTATTTAACTGCTTTCAAAAACACTTGAGTTCAGCTGTGGGACTTTTTTAGCTGTGGCAGAGGTGAGTGGTGTCCTCCAGCTTCTCTCTTATGGTGCTTGAGGATAAGAAAATCAATTTCTAGAGCAAAATGATGCTCTGCTGGTGTGTGTGGGCTCTGCCAGTCACCTGGGTGCTCTCTGGAGGAGACTTGGGGTCTAACCCTGGGGTTTGCATTCCTGGCATGAGCTAATGGGGATGGGTCTGTTGCCAATACTCCCTGAGGCATCCTGGCATCTCTGGGGAGCACTAGTGGCAGACTTGGCCCCATTAGCTGATATTATGCTATTGTGTTCTTCATGCATCTAATTGATGTGCAAGAGAGTTCTTCCTTAGGCAGGAGTTTTATGGAGTAAAGCCTGAGATGCTCTGAGCTTGAGGAGCTCAGTTTGATGTCTGGTGAAGGAAGAAGCTGTTTGAGGTGTAATACTGAGTAGTAGGAGTACTACAGTCACAAGTGTGGCTGACATTACACTCAGCAAACATTGTTTGCAGCATAGACCTCCAATTTCCTTTCATTAAAGACTTGTTGGCACTTAATGAAAGCTGGACGAAGTGGCAGAGTTTCCTCAGCACAAATGCAGTCCTTAAATGCACAATTTTGGTATAGGAAGACCCAGAGGCCATAGGGCTTGGACGCTGGGGTGGCCACTCTTGGCAAGACTGTGCTGGCACAGTGTTAGGGGCTGTGATTTATTCCAGCTCCAGTAAAGTGTGTGGAACAACCTAGCCTTTGCCTCCTGCAGCAGAGCTTAGGTGGGAGAGGAGGCATTCACAGAAGTGATTTTATTTTTCCTGTAGACTCACTGCTAATTGTGCTTTTAACCTCTGCTGCTTTAGCTGTCAGAGCCTGGGGAGAATGGCCTGCTGGTAGGACTGAGGAAGATGTGTTCTCTGCACTTTGCTGGGAGGAAGTCCCTGAGCTGATTCCCAGCAGTGGGTTTGGATAAACACAGTGCTGGTGTGTCCTGCTCAACAGGATCCCAAAGCACTTGAAGCCACACCAGTGGTGCCTTGCAGTGCAATAGGTCCCAGTCACATTCCCAAAACTTTTACTATCCACATAAGCCAGACCTGTTCCTCAGCCATCCTGGGTTAGTGTGGACTTTGAAATGTGTCTGAAAAACCCATTCTTTTATCCCTTTTGGTTAGGTGAGAGGATCCTGGGCTATGCAGAGGAGCCTTGCTACCTGTGGTTCGTCATGGAGTTCTGCGAAGGGGGAGACCTCAACCAGTACGTGCTGTCCCGAAGGCCCGACCCTGCCACCAACAAGAGCTTCATGCTGCAGCTGACCAGTGCCATTGCCTTCCTGCACAAGAACCACATTGTCCACAGGGACCTGAAGCCAGACAACATCCTGATAACTGAGAAATCTGGCACTCCTGTGCTCAAGGTGGCTGACTTCGGGCTGAGCAAGGTCTGTGCTGGCCTGACTGCTCGGGGCAAGGAGGGTGGGCATGAGAACAAAAATGTGAATGTGAACAAGTACTGGCTGTCCTCGGCCTGTGGCTCTGATTTCTACATGGCACCCGAGGTGTGGGAGGGACACTACACTGCCAAGGCTGACATCTTCGCCCTCGGCATCATCATCTGGGCCATGATTGAGAGGATCACTTTCATTGATGCCGAGACCAAGAAGGAGCTGCTGGGGACTTACATCAAGCAGGGGTCTGAGATTGTGCCCGTTGGGGAAGCGCTGCTAGAAAACCCAAAGATGGAGCTGCACATCCCTCAGAAACGCAGGACTTCCATGTCTGAGGGGATCAAGCAGCTCTTGAAAGACATGTTGGCTGCTAACCCACAGGATCGACCTGATGCCTTTGAGCTTGAAACCAGAATGGACCAGGTTACATGTGCTGCTTAAATTCAGGGCAGAGCACCACTGTGCTTTGCAGCTGGGTAAGTGATGCACATTTTTTGTCTTATTTCTGTCGGCTGTACTGGCCCAATAGTGCACTTTGTAGTGACACAAAGGAGCCTTTTATGTTCTTAGAGCTATTTCTGTAGTGACTCATCAGAGCCCTGCTTCTGAGGTTGTTTTCACCTATTCTACAGCAAAAATAAAGTAGAGGTGAGAAATAGAATTAGCAGCTGCACATCCTGTCACTGCCCAAGGGCCCAGTGGAGCTGGAAGTGCTGGGCAGGAGCCTTGCTCCTCAGAGGTCCTCCTGGCTGGTGGCTGAGACAGGCTGGGGCTCAGCAGAGACACCTGCAAGCACTTGGTCTAAAGTTTGGTGACATCTCTCTCTCAGGGTCAGGGAGGGGTCTGCCAGTTCTGCCTCCTCTGCTGTGTGATGTAATTTCCACAGTCTGTGCTGGAGCTCCTTGTCTAGCACCATCCCCCTCCCCTGTGACACTTGGACAGGACACCTCGGGGCCCAGCTGGCTCAGAGAGTAGGCACCAAGTGGCACATCTGCCTTGGCACAGAACTCTTTGCTTTCACCTACCAGGCATGTGGGTCCATCTTGTGGCTCTGTTTCATTTCCCTATTAAAGGCAGGACTTCCCTTTGGTGTGAACGATAGTGGCCCAAAACCAGGAGATGCTCTGGTCTCCAGCATCTGTGTTTGTAGACCTGTGTCTACTCAGGAAGGAAGCTTAAAAACAGCTCTGCTCAGATTGAGCTCAGCTCTGTCCAGAGTCCCCTCCCTTCTCCCCCCCGCTAAACAGCCTCAAGCTCAGAGGTCCTGATCCTGAGGCCTGGGTGGTCACACATGGTCTGGAAGGACCCCAGGGATGTGGTGTAGCTGGCAGTGTCACTCACCAGTGACACAGAAGGACTGGGAGGTGTTGCCTACATGGCAAAGCTTGCCTGTAAACAGAAGCTGTTACTAAGGATTCTCCCAGCCAAACATTTCAATGAAACTGAAGAATTACAGATTACCAGGGGTGAGGTTGACATCTTTCCAGCCCACATCCTTTCTCAGGCTCCTGCAGAGCTGCCTGCCCATTTCTGGTCCCAGGAGATCTTTGACAGCCTGGCTGTGTCAGGTGCTGGCATCACCAGCCCTCCCCTCACCCCAAAACCACACACAGCCAGCTGGACTGGAGCTGACCATGGATGCAAGAGTGTAAAGAGGGAGGAAATCGTGTCCCTGCCCAGCACTCACCAGCTCTCAGCTGATGGCTGTGTGCTTGTCCAGCTCTGAGAGCAAGCCCCCAGCAGCAGGTGGTGGGGAAGGTGGAGGTATTTTGGCAGGTTTTGCTAAAACCTCTCATTGCTGCCACCTGAGGATTTCTGAGCTTATGGAAAACGCTGTGGTGCCTGACCCCCCACCTCTGTGTGCCCAGGTACACTCTGTGCTGTATGTAGAGAAACAGGGATGGAAATTAAAAGACCCATTGGGTGGGTCTTGTTCTTCTCTGTTGGTTTGTCCAAACTGGTTCACAGACCATCCCCTCCGCACTCTTCCATCACAAAATATTTAACGCCCATCTCAAATGCGAGTAACTGGTTCAAGCACTGCTGCCTGGGGCTGGATACTGGTCCCAGTGCAAGTGTGGGCTGGGGATGAGGGTGGGGGAATGAATCTGGAAATGTGAGCCCTTCAGATGGGTGTGCTCCAGCCCCGGGGCAAGAGCACACACCCTGCCCTGTGCCCCGGGGCGAGGCGTGGGGCTGTGGGAGCAGCTCTGCCGGCACGTGGAGGGTCAGGCCGGGCTCTGCCATCTGCGCTGGCTCTGTGCTGACACGATGCTGCTGCGTTATGCAACCAGCCCCTGCCCTCGGGGGGAAATTCATCCTGCGCAGTTCTGCGGAATAGTACATGAAGGGATAACAAACACCGAGGGGACAGTCCTACCCCGCGGCTGTTTGCTCAAACCCAGCTGCCTTCTGCAGCCCCCCTCCCACTCCATCCATGAGTCTGCACCGATGGCTCCATCATGACACAGCTGCAGCAGCCAGGGATGCTCTTACATAACCCAGCCTGGCACATGGTTGCTTGGCCCAGATAGAGCCCAGCACCTGCCATATGTTCCCTGCAAACCCAGAGGATCCCTCCGCCTCACTCGTGGGGCAGCCACAATATTTGGTGCACTTTACTGTATGGTCTTCCTGGTGTACTTGTGTATTTAAATCAGCCTTCTGGTTGCTATTAAATGTAAATCTTAAATTGGAAACCTGCTTGAGAAGCTTAAAATGGGATTTAGAGCAGGACCTGAATTCTGCTCTCAGGTAATTTTAGTTGACCGAGAAACTCACGTAACCTCTTCCAACTTATTTGTGGCACTGGTGTGTCGCTTTGCTCTGCTGGGTCTTGCAGCAGGTTCTTCCCCAGGACAGTTCAGACCTGCTTAGCCTTGGTTCATGTCATAACCTGAAAACCTGTAACCCTCCCTGACCAGGGAATTGGATTTTTGCTTATTCTTTCCTATGCCACTGACCTCTTCAGATTTCACTTTGTGTCTCAGCAGCTTCAGCTTTAGTTCTGCCATAGATGCTGTGCACACCTGAGAGCTTCATGCTCTGTTACCCTTCCAAAATGCAGGTAGGAAATGTCAGTTCTCGGACAGAAAAGTGTTTTTGGCTTGGTTTATGCTGGACACTGGGCTGCCTGAGGTGGAGATAACTCATTATCTCCTTGCTTTTCCCACTGCTAGTGGCACTGGTGCAAATAGTTTCAGTGGAGGTGGGCAGCATTTCTGTGGGAGAAACAAAGGTATTCTCTTTTTAATTTTAACACTTCTTCCCTACCTTCTGCAAATGTTTAGATAAAGCCAAGTTTATCTACAGCTCTCTAGAGTTGTTGGCAAAAGCTGCCTTTTGGGCAAAGAGGACAAAAGCCTTTCTAGTACAATTAGGAAGTGGCTGGGTTGTGCTGGGTATCTGCTGATGGGTCTCTTTCTGTGATAGCCCAGCACTGACTGCCCTGCCCACTGGGGAGTGTTTCAGCCTTCCTTGCCAGTCCTGGAAAGCTGGAATGATTCTCTTTTCCTGCAATGTGAACATCTTTCATTCTATGTCATTTTTGTAGTTTCCCTCCAATTCCCTAGGGATGGTCAGGGGCCTCCCAGAGATGCTGCTCTGGTGGGATGCTCTGATGGGGTGGCTTTATGCAACCCCTAGGGAGGTTGTAGAGGAAAAGGTACAGTGGCAGTGTTGCCTTTTGCTGCTCCCTGTAGTGACACGGGGACCTTGGCCACGGAGATACAAAGGGCGAGTACAGCATCACCCGCCACTGACATGTGTTTAAGAAACTTGGTAGGTTTGATTCACACAGGACATCAAACTACAATGGTTGTGATCGGTGTAGAGGCAGCTTGTTCTGGTAGACTTGTATTCCATGACATTTTCACCGTGGATAAGACAGTTGGTCTGATTTTGGGTGGATAATTAAGATGAATCTGTGCAGGCTGCAGCATCTCAGGGGCTGTTGTGACCAGGAAGGTGTTCAATAGCTGCAGCCAGTCTGGTTTTCTCCAGCACTCCTCTGTCACTGGGTTTGATTATTCCAGTTTCAGCTGAAAGTGGCTGTTTGTATTTGCATTGTTCTGCTCTTTTTACAACCAGGATCTGATGCTGAACAAGCTTTTCTGCTCATCCTGCATGATGGTGTCTACCCTGGCCAGAGCTCTCTGGTGCTGTGCCCAACCACCCCCAGCACTGCTGATAAGCTGCTGCCCTGTGGAATTTCAGAGCTGAAGGAAGGACAGGGATCAGGGACACAACAGCAGCTCTGAAAGATGTCAGTGAGCAGGGAGTGCTGCATCAAGTTAGGTCTTGGTTAGTATCACTCAGGTCAAGCTTTACTCTCTGGCCTGTTAAAGGACAGCAATTTCATTCCTAAAGCAATCTTGGTTTTGACTTTGGACAGTTTTCACTGTTGTTTTGTGGATCTTGGCATGGACAAAAGCCACAGGACAGTAATAGCAAGATCAGTTCCTCTTCATAGCAGTGAATGCAGCATCACAGGGGCAACCCCACAGAGTGGTGACATCCTTATGGGCAGTGTTGATTCTACTTGGAGTAAAATGAAGCCCTGAGAGTGACCTGGACTATGGACCATGTTGCCTCTGGCCAATTGTATTGGTGTTTGTGTTTGCTCACTGTCACCCCTGCTTTGCCTTCTGGGAGAGGTCACTGCAGTTGGATTTAAGGATGCACCCAAGGAACGCATCGCAAGTATAGGTACAGAGCATGATGGAAAGCTCAGGAGGTAAATCAGGCACTCAGCTCCCTTCCCTCACACTCTGTGTTCCCACACAGGGGCAGATGACATGGTTAACACGAGGAGCTGCTGGGTTATCTCTCCCTCCTCTGCACCGAGTCCTCTCTGACGTGCAGACCCCACTGCCCCTCTGTGTGACCCACACATTGGTGTCATCTTGTGTGCTGGGTGAGGGCTGCATGGGCTGCTGGTTCACATCCTGCTGATGCCAAATGAACATTCGAGCTGATTAGAACTCTAAGTGGCATCAGTGGAGGGATTAAAAGCTCTTGAACAAGCCCCTGCAAAAACGTGCGTCAGCAGGGTGAGCTCTCCTGTCTCAGAGCAGTGAGCTCAGGGCTGCTCAAGCAAGCACCTTCCCTGATAATGTTCCTGCTCCAGGGAAGCACAAACAGAAACCATGCCCTACTTGCTAACGAAGCTGCATCATAGGAGCAACCTTCCAGAAGGATTCTTGTGTGTTTGCCCTGACCCGATGTCTGTGTGCCTCTCGCCTCCTCAAACAGAAAGGCTTTATTCTGATGGCAGCCTGCAAAAGTGGCATCCCTTTGGTTAACCTCTCCTGGAAAGGAGTGCCCATGACCTTGCCTTCTGCTCTGAGCAGCCTTGTCCTTTAGAAATGTGTTCCTCAGACAGGGATTTCTTTAATGAGATTTCTTAGGGCTTAGGTATTGCAGTAATTTGCTGGGCAGTATCATTTTTTTCTGCAGCGGGTCTTTCCCACTGCTCCTTTGGTGTCTCTGCAGAGCCTCTCGCCCATCCCTGGTGGGGTGGGACCTGCTCCTGCTGAATGGAGGAGCTAAATCCATCCCCCACATATTTTTCCAGCTAACTGTCTGCATTTAGAGCCTATGGACCACCCCACTGCTTCCCAGCACAACCACTGCACTCAGCTCTGCTGGTGCCTCCTTGAGTTTGGGACATCCTAAAGGATGTATTTTCAGTACAGACATGACATCATGTGTATGTAGGTGTGCTGTTCTTCTGCTGTCGACAGGGAATTTTCTGGGTTGCAGAAAAACTGTGTGGAAAACACTGGTGGCTTATGTACAGAGTTGAGCATTCCCATGTCCCTGAGCTTGGAGGACAGGAGGGTGCCAGGGCTGTGGATGAATGGGTGCAGGACCTCTGCTGCTACAGGAACCATGGGGGTTGTTGTCTGTTGAGGCTTCAGCCAAAGCAGGGATTGGTGCAGCAAATCTAACTCTAAACTCTAAAATCCCTGGCACTGAGCATCCTTGTGGGCTGAGCTGTAAACCTCTCATTCTCTGCTTCCAGTTCCATCAACTTGGATTTTACCCACCAAACCTCTCCTGCTCTGCTTCCAGTTGCACCAACCTGGATTTTACTCACCTTTTGCAGAGCCACTTACAATGCCTGAGCTGCTGCTGACGCAGCAGGCGAGTGGTGCAGGGCTTCTCTGGGGTTGCAGCTTGTTCCACCTTTCCTGGTGGAGTGCAGGGAGCCAGCACTCACAGACATGTCACATGGACTCTCAAGGCCAGGCTCTGCTGTGGGAGCACTTGTCCTTGTTCCAGCAGGACTGTGACTGCAGGGAGCTGTGTGGAGTGGGGGTGTGAGGAGATGCTCGGCCCCAGCCAGCGTGTCCCAGCTCAGCCCCCGGCCTGGGGCAGCTGGATGTGTGCTGTCCTTGGCAGTGTGCTCCACGCACTGCTGTCTGAGTCCTTCTGGGAAAAAACTGACTGTAAACTGAGCCCAGTTCCTATCTGGATCAACAGCAAAAGCACTGGGCAGTAGAGAGATGTGACAGCACTTGTTTTGGGCTAACTGGGATAAGTGGGCAGGTGGTAGGAGCAGTGTCCTACACTCCTTCCATCCAGGAGCCAATGCCTGCAGTCACAGTGCAGTAACTGAGACAAACCACTGACAAACCTGACTTCCCTTTCTCCTCTCTTATTTTTTTCTTGCAGATTTGTTTACCAGGGACCCATAACCTCCATTATTTACATGCAGCAAGGAAGTCAAAGATAAGGGAAGATGATGATACAGAAGATCCCTGGTCTACAGGATCTCCGGCAATGTGAAATGTTTGGTGTTACTTTTTTATGTTGGGAAGGGGTGTTGTGGGGGTGTGGGAGGGGGCTGCAGGGGCCTGTGGAAGAACACAAGCTGGCAGCTGTCACACTCATGAGACTTTGAAACAAGATCCAGAGAGCAGAGCTGCCCTTGTCCAGCCCTCCCCATGTCTCCTGTGCTGCTGTTTGACTCAGTAGGTGTTTCTAGGAATGTGGTTCTGTAAGGAAGTGGGAATCTGCAGCCTGATGGTGAGGTGTGCTGCCAGGCACCAGCTCAGAGTCCAGCTGGGCACAGTTTTTGGGTTCAAAGGTATTGATTTTGCCTAGGGAAAATGGGAACAAAGTGATGGCTAGGTTTGCATTGGGAGTGCAGTGCTTTAGGAAAAATGAGTCTCTTGGACCACATGTTGAAGCAGCTAAGTAACTTCATAGCCAGGCAGCTCCTGAATAGGTGGTGCTGCCCTGGCTTGTGAGCAGCTGCCATTAGGATAGAGTAGGATAAACAAGCTGGAAAGCCATTTGGCAAAGCAGGTCTTCCCAAGCTGGATTTCATGATCATCTTTGTTACTGTCTTTCTATACAGAGGGAACTGAGGAGCTGCTGAGTACATTTTCAGGTTGACATCATCTAAGTACAAGAGAAACAGAAAGCAGTCCACTGCTCTGATCCATTTAATGCCAAACTTCAGTCGATAGGAACAATGCTGTGGAGAGAAGGAGGTTTGGCCTTAATTGGTCATGGGCTGGATTTTAGCCTCCCACAGGACACTTTTCCCTGCTAGCTAATGATCTCCAGGAAGCAAAAGGCAATGCTGCTGTTCACAATGGGTTACAAGTATAGTTCAGGTCAGGAGAATTGGAACCTCAGGCTGAGCACTTAAAACTCCTTGCCTATATATAAAGCAAAACTCCTGTTCCAGGGCTGCCCTGTGTTGATGATCTTTAGACTTTGCTCACTGTAAATGCAATGTAAAGCACCACCTCTTCTCCACCCTGCAGCTTCTGAACCACCTAAAATGTTTCTCTGCAGGTGAAATCACCAGTAGTGGTTTGGGATGTGGTCTGGTCTGACCCAGCATCACTGCTGAGCTGTCAGGGTGCTCAGTCTGGAGCTAGCCATGGTCACAAGCAGGAGAAGGGTCCCTCTGGTCCCCTCATCCCTGGCAACCTTCCTCTGCCATCACTGGAAGGTTCCTAACTGGCAGCACCTCCATGTCTCTCCTCAGTGTACTACGCTGACCTCACAGGAATGAACGGAAATGGAGGAGATTCAGGTGGGCTCAGGCAGAGCAGGGAAAGGAAGGAGGGGTTTCTTCTCTTCTATCTTTTCCAGGACACAAAGCTAAAGCTGTGGCTGCTGGAAGGCCTGGTCCTTCTAAGGAGGACCAGGAGGCTCCAAACTGCCTGTCTGTGACTTGTGACGGTTTGGACAGCACAAATGCACTGCCAAACCCTTGTTCTCACACTGTGCTTGTGTTTGTCCCTAGGTATGCTCCTGTGAGCTGCAGCTGGGTGGGTTTCCTGCAGCTTCCTGTGCTGCATCCCACAGGAAGGGGAGAGTGAACCATTTAGCTCCCAAGTGCAGTGTTAGTGCCCTGATCACTGGACCATCCTTCCTCCACCTGGCAGAGCCTTTGCTCATGACTGTTAGGACTGTTCTAACCGAAGCCTGGCCTGAACTGGTGCAGTGAGAGGGCAGGAGGTGAAGCTGGAAGGCAGTCAGTGGATTGCCCTGTTCTTCTCGGGACAGGAGTGAGTCCAGCAGGCCCTGGGAGGGTCAGCCCTCTTGGTCCACTGCTGTTTCAGGCCATCTTCAAACCACACGTCTCCACCTCAGCTTTTGCATTGCAGATGTGTTTTTCAAGCAGCTTGATGTTAGTGAGCTAGACCGTAGTGCCTTACTTAGGATTTAGCAAACACTTCCAAGGAGGAGTCCTAGGGCTGCTAGCCTTTGGCCAATGTGGATGTTTCCCTGGGTAGTTTGTCATTTCAAAAGCATTTCTCTGATTTTGCTGCTGTTTGTGCTCAACTCCCTGGACTATATAGGAACCTGCCTTGTGTTTACAGCTCCCCACATCTCTCCTTCAGTTACTTTGGCCCAGACCAGCACTCCCTCTAGAACAATATGGGAACAGGGAACAGCTCAAACCTGCATATGCTGTGAGATGGAGAATGTTTAGGCTTCTCTTCCCAGGTGGGTCTTTTGGGCCTCACCTGCCCAGCCCCTGAAGGCCAAACTTCTTCCTCTGCTGTGGATGTTTGGCACTAGGATGTACTGCTGGGAAAATCCAAGTTTAAGAAAGCAGCACCAGGCCTGTGGCCCATTTCCCAGCTCAGGGCCATGCTGTCTGTCTCTTCCTGGCTGCAGTGATGCTGAGCATCCAGGTGCTGGGGGTAGCTGGTTAGTATGGGGGGAGCCAAGCCACCCTTGCAGAACCCTCTGGGCTCGTGTGGCCCCAGATGGTGCCCATGCCAGGGGAGTGATTGTATGAAACTGTTTACTTCTGATTTTGCTGTTTACAAGAGGGATGTGGGGTGGGTGGGGGGAACAAGCCAAGCCTCAGGAGGATTGGGAACTGTGTTATCTGCACCAGCCTGCAGCAAGGCTGACACCACCGGCATCATGCAGGTGTCACGGGGATCTCCCAGCCAGCTTTGGTCCATGGGGAGGAAAGCAGAGGTGGAGCTGTAGCCTAGTGGGGTTAGATTAGCTCCCCTATATCCCCTTGCTGCTGTGTTTGAAGTTCAGCAGTGCTAGTGACAGATAAGAGTTACCCCTGTGGTCTTCCTTTACTCCTCAGGACCCAGCTCCTTCACATATCACAGGCTCCCAGAGCCTTTCTGGAGCAATAAGATGTAAAACAAGTGTTACCATCGTCGTGGAAATCCTCCGTTGTGTGCAGTGTCTGTCTCCTCCATATGCAGTATGAGTCTGGGTTTAAGCCTGCCAAGCATCACAGGGGAGCTGCTGCAGGCACACACTGGGGTTTGTTTCCCTGGGCTTTCTGCAGGTCAGAACAGGGAAACATGCTGCTCCTTTCCTTCCTTACCCCAGGCCTGTGCTGCCCAAGCCTCACACTACAGCTGCCTGGGGCAAGGGTGCTCCTGGTCCCCCTTTTTGGCAATGCTGGCATGGGATGGGTGAGCAGAGCTCAGTGCTCCACTCCTCACAGCCCCCATCCCATCAGCCAGGGCAGCATTGGGAAAGCAGAGCCCCCATTTCCTTTGCACCGGGGGGCAGCCAATGCTTGTGCCACTGGCGTGGGAGGAGTTGTGCCAGTGGCTCCTGTGCTCCTCAGCTGGCCACAGGCACATCCATGTGGGCCCTTCATGTCCAGAAGCATTTTGCACTTCAGGGCAGGGTGTCTGGTGGGTGTAGCTGGAAGGGAAGTGCAGGGAGCTGCTCTCTTCCAGCTGTGATCTGCCAGATCATTTCTCTGCAGCCTGCCCAAATGCTTTTAGCCCTGAGGGTGTCTAGGCTGCTGGAAGAGCTCACAGGGGCCACACATGAGTGCCTGGTGTTCCCAGCCTGGTGCCTGTTGCCAGCAGCTGCCCAGGCCAGCATGGACCTTGAGCTCACTCACCCAGCAGAAAACAGCAGCTTTGCAGGGTGAGCTGCTTCCCTACCACACCAGAGGAGTTCTGTGTGAGCCCCAGGACAGGGGCTCATGGCTGCCCCTGCCCTGCTGAGGGCTCTCCTGGCTCCCCACAGCTCCTGTCCTGAGTTAGCAAGAGCAGAAGGCTTAAACCCAGACTCCAAACTAAAGATAATATTAGTAAATGAGTCTGTATTTTTCTTTTTTTTTTTTTTTTTGCACAGAAGCTGGTTATCTAGGACCTATGTGTGAACAACTTTATATAAATATTTTTTGTACTTGGTTTCCTTGGGTTAGTATGAAACATTCTATTTAAGTTTTTTGAACACTGTGGATCCCCTGATGTGTATGAATGGCAGAGGCTTTGTAAATTAAGGGACGTTTGTGTGAATAAAGCTATTTGATGGGGTTGAAAAGCCACAAACAACTTGAAACATGAGCTCTGTGTGTTTGTCCTTTGCTGTGCTGGCAGCAGTGGGGTTGAAAGGGTGTCCCTGGCAGCAGTGGGCAGACCAAGGCCCTAAAGCAGCTCTGGCTCCATCCTGGAATGCAGGTCCAGCTAAGCCTGAGCTGGAACTGGGCTAGCTGGACTGACCTCGGGGCTTAGGGCACCAAACCAAGGCACCCTGGCCACTGCCAACCAGAATGTGGCTCATGAGGCACTTGTGGCCCTTTATCCTTGCCCTGGATTAGGATTAACCCCATTCTAGATGCAGACACCAAGTAGGACATTGTGATTACTGGGACAGGCAAGCTTGGCCTCTTGCCCCTACAGAAACACCTCCTTATCCTGCCCCTTCCCCCTCCTCTGGCCACAAGTTGGCAACCCTGTGGTTCAGGAGCCAGAAAGGACCAGCAGCCCCTCACCCAGCTGGCTGCCTGCTCTGGGGGTGCCTGCAAACCCCACAAGGGAAAGAGCCAGCAGAACTGCTATTTGAGTAGCCACAATCATTTTCTCCCTTTGCACAGATCCTCTGCCCCGAATCCCAGGTGACCAAGCCGGTCACAGCAGCTGGGAGCCTCCAGCGCCACAATTGCTCTCCACGATGAGAAAAGCATCACGAGGCTGAGCTGCATCCTGTAGCCACGAGGAGTTTTCCTGTGGGTGATGTCCACGGGAGTCCAGCAGCCTGGGGCCACCCGTGGGACACGGATGTGCTGGCACCCGCCAGCCCTTGCGTAACAGCCCCGGCAGCCTGGCACGACCCGCGGCATTGCCGGGACGTGCCGGGCAGCCAGTCCTCCCCTGCGGCAGCCCCAGCACGGCCCTCAGCATTGTGCTCCTTAATCGCTGCCGACAGGCTCCTCAAATGGATGTTTTCAGCCCAGTGGGGCCGCAGGGAGGCCGGCAGACCACAGCCCGAGCGATGCCTTGCCCCCCTCACTGGCTGGCAAGGGGGCCCAAGCGGAGTTTCCTCCTGCTTCCTGCTGGGTTATCTCGGGCATTGGCTGCTCAACACCCGCTGTGAGGGGCAGCCTGGGGTGCTCAAACATCCCCCCCCAGTCCTGCCTGCAGGCTGTATTGGCTCCAGTCACACTGGCCCCCAGTGTGGGACGAGCCCCAGGACTGTCCCTGTCACGGTGACAAGTGCAGCTGCAGAGACCCGCTGTGCTACACTGCTGTTCCCCACCAAATACAGTCACCCCCAAAACCTCTGTCACAAATGCTGTGGCACCTCCAAGAACACTTCTGCTCTTGTGACTTCCCCCGGTTTAAGCTACACCAGTGACAAAGTTCATGTTGCCTCCAGGCTCATGGCACCTCGCTCGACTCTGTGACCAGACACAAAATGTGCTCCATGAGCCCCACAGTCTCTGACTCCCAGCTCAGCACTTGAAAATGGGATGAAACTGAACCCCAGCAGGAGCTTGGGGTTGGAGCCTGGCTCACCTCTCACGTGTGCTACAGGTGAGGAGCTGGTAAGGGCAGGTGACCACACAGCACAGCAGAAAAGCACCATTAACAAGGAAGTTGATATCAGTCACCAGGAGAGATGTTTCACTCTGGATTTGCTCTCTGGAGACCTGCTATTTCGTATGCAAAGAGGTTTGCTGAACTCCACAAAGGTGCTTCAAGCATTTGACAGCTGACAGGATCCCCCAGGAGCCACCAGCCCTGTGCTCCTCAAGGACCAGGAGTGGGGCACGTGCTGGGGCAGAACTGCACGTGGCAAAGGCCACAGCCAGGCATCAGGGCCAGGGTGGGAAAGGCAAGGACAGCCCTGGCAGCCACTATGGCCGTGAGGCCAGTCACAGCCCTGAGTGCCAACACCAGCCTCACCTGGAGGGTTTAAACCTCAGAGTAGATGTGAGGTGCTGCTGCAGCCATGGCTTTGCTCTCCCTCTCTCTGCTTGCACACAGGAACATTTTCAAGAGCCTCCTCTCCACAGAGACTGTGTTTTACAGCTGAAGCACTAAGTCATTCATCACAAAACAATAAATCCAGATTTCTTTTAAGATCCCCTGAGCTCCTCAAGCAGCAGCACTTCAGCAGCCCTCGCTGGGCCAGAGCGACACCAGCTGCTGCTTGAGCTGGTGGGAGGAGAGCAAGGTCCATTGTATGGGCAAAGGACATTCATTTGCCTCATCCCCACACTGATGAATTGCTCCACTTGCCCGTGTCAGGCTCCAGCACAGCAGAGGATGAACAGCTAAAGCTGCACTAAGCCCACACACTCCATTGAGCCGGGAGATGACTCAGAGGAGGCTCTGGTGCGGGTGGAGGTGACAACACAAGGGACAAAAACTGAGTGAGCAGGGACTCTGCTCTCCCCACTGACCCACTGTGAGGCAGAAGCTGGGACCCTCCTCACCCTCTGTCCCCCTGTTCAATGGCAGGACAGTCACAAAGGTTCTTGGACAGCCCAGCCCCAGTGCTCTGACACACAGCAGACAAGGCCAGGGATGGCACCAAGCTTAAATACATTTCATCTCATTGCACACAATATCCCAGCAGCTCACCAGCTCAGACAGGAGCCCCCCATGTGTGTGGAATGGCTGCAGTCCCCATCCCTCCCTCTGCACCTCCAGCCCTGCCCAGGGAACCCTAGGGATGGGGCAGGGGGAGTAGCATCGCCCAAACCACCTCCTGATTCCACCCAAGGCTTCAAAAAATGTAATTTTTGCCTGCAATCTGTCTCAAATGCATTGTGCAGTCTGCCCACCCCACGCACACCCCACCTGCCTCTCCCCACAGTAGGAACTGCACGTGGCAGCAGCAGCAGCTTCACTCAGAGAGACTTCGGGTCAGTCTCAGTTCCGTGAACAAAAGCTGCTTCCCCAGCTGATTTCCTGACAGAGCTGATGGCCTGTGCCCTCTGGGGACCCAGAAATTGCTGGGAGGCAGCAAAGGAGGGAATTAAGGACTGTTTCCTCTTCCAGAGATAAGATCTCTAAACAAGCTTCTCAGCCAAGAACTTTTAATTTTTTTTTTATTTTACAGGTTTTGCAATGGAATCTTATTCTCCAGAATTGCATCCGCCTCCAACCCCATTTAGAGCTGCCAAAGCCTGCACTTCCCCCGGGACCAGCCTGCAAGTGGCAGAGATGGATGGGATGACATGGGCATGACTTCATCCTTCTGTCCTGCTGCTGGAGCCAGGTGCTGTCAGGATTCCCAGAGGGAGCCCCCCCTGCTCTGGTTCCATCCAGCCCCCCTGGATCCACCCCCCAGACCAGAGCCATGGGGTGCCACAGCCCTGCCCCAGCCTC